TGGCCGACAGTCTGTCAGTCTTTTCATGTGCATGAGTGGCCTGGAAGTCACATAATCAATCTTCCAGACATGGGGACTTCCCCAGATAGACCTCAGCACACTCTACCGTGGTACAGAGCCTAATTGGCAGCATTCTTGGCTTAGATTCCCTCAAATCTACAGAGTGGTAACGTGATGCTTTATCTGCACCTTTGCAGTACACAGCCCAATCACCCATGAGGTGGGGTATGATGCAGGAGGTTATAATGGGTGTCATGAGGCAAGGGTAGGTCAACAGGAAGTTAAAATTGGGTGTCATGAATGCGCAACTCCCCAGAGTGTGTCCAGGCTGACCTTACAGCTAGGAAAAAAAACCTTCCTGCTACTGTGCACATGCACATCTGATTAGAATGGACATGAATAACACATTATGAAGAACAATCTTGCCCTTCCATATTCAGGGACCTTTCTCACTAGAACATGCTTCATCAAGAAGTAGAACCATTTCTAAGGCTGGTCTAAACTATAGCATTAGGTTGATTGACATGTGTATGCTACATTATTGCTCCCATTGATATAAGCTGTCCACTATACCAACCTAATAACTCTTCCTTCCTGAGAGACTTAATGCTTTCATCGATATAGTTAATCAATACAGTTATAGCGAAGACACTGCATTGACTGTTCTAGCTGTCAGCACACCACAGTGCACCACACTTACAGCTAAATCAGTGCAAACATGGTTATTGATGTCTTGCACCACCGGCAGAAGGGCATGCCACACCATCTTAATTATTGTGATAACTGTACATCCACTTAACTTAAGTCTACTTAATTTGGTACTGTAGATTTGCCCCAAGTCTTGGAGCAGTCGAAGTCGTCCCTCAGGATTACAAAGAAACCGGTTTTAGTATCATTACTTTTGAATACCTAAGAAGAAAGGGGTTTCACGTCCAAGTCCAGATTTGAATAACTGGACATTTTCTTCCACACATTTATCTAAAAGAGAACTACTGTAATCATCTATAATTTCCTCTGTGTCTCCACAGATCTAGTATCAGGTCTTGCATTGGGGCTGTTTATCAAATACCTGATGATAGTGGCAGCATTCTTGACAAAACAAGCAAGTCAAGTTTTTCCTTACTTAGACAGTGTGGCTCTTTTGGGAGAGATCTCCTTGGCATATGGTTTACTCCATTATCAGATACTCCATCTTTTTGTTTCCAGTCAGCAAGGAGAAGTTGGTGTTAATTCCTACCCAAACAATATAATTTATAGAGGCATTACTGGCCACCACCTCAGCAAAGGCTCATCTTCCCTAGATTTAACTGCTAAGTTTGGTCAATCAGTTACAAGCCCAAAATCAGACATCAATAGTTTTGTCTCTGTCTCCTAGGGCATATGGCCACTCAAACTTCCCTAACTCAGCATGCTAGACTTCATCTTCTGTGTTTGCAAGAGTGGCTGAGGACTATTTATAAGCTCAGCAGATATCTAGAAATAAGAATGCTGATCTACTTCGCTCCTAAATCCTGTCGTATTTAAATTGGATTAAAATGGTGGTCAGATCTTCCTGAAGTATGCAGAGTTTATCTTTATTTCCACTATTGCCATCCAAGACACAAATGACAGACACTTCCAGTCTAGCATGGGAGAATTCAGCTTGACCATCTCTACACTTAGGCCACTGGTCAGCACAGAAAACTCTTTTGTAAATAATTGTATTAGAGCAGAGGGTTTATTCACCAGGCTTGATCAGCTTTTTCTTCCCCTTATGAAAGGGTTAACTCTTTAGATTATGAAAGATAACCACAGGGATTACATCAACAAGCAGGAGGAACAAGATCAACTACCCACTGTCAGCAAGCTGTGTGTCTATGAAACGTCTGTCTTCAGCATGAAATTACCCTCCAATAAACCTTCACTTATCAGGCTGCAGAATGTTCTGGGAAATCACGTCAGCAAACAGTTGCATGCAACCATGAATGGTTAGTAAAAGACAGTCACAGATATTATGGATATCAGTGCATGGGATGAGAATTAACAACTTGAGGTTCGCAGATGATATAGTTATCGAGGAAGATAAAGAGAAGCTGGCGAGAATGGTGCAGATGCTAAATGAGGAAGGGAAGCAGTATGGACTGGTTATGAATATCAATAAAATGAAGACAATGGTATTTGGAGATAAGGAAATAGGAAGGAAGATAAATGTAGATGGGATCGAACTAGAGAACATAGAGTAGTTCACGTATTTGGGGAGCAACGTGACGGATGATTTAGACTGTACGAAGGAAATAGCAACTAGAATAGTGAAAGCAAGAGCAACTTTAAAGGCGATGGATAAAATCTGGAAAAGTAAAGTGATTAGCTTAGGGAACGAAGCTGAGGGTCTTGAAAATGAGTGTATTTAGCAGCATGTTGTACGGATGTGACACATGGGTGATAATGAAAAAGTTGAAGAGAAGAATATTGGCGTTTGAGAGGAATTGTTATAGAAAGATCCTGAGAGTAGGATGGATGCAGAAGGTCACCAATGAGGAATTATCTATAGGGAGATACAGCCGAAAGAGAACCTACTGCAGAAGGTTATACAGCGGAAGTTACAGCTGTTCAGGCATATCTGCTGAATGAATGACAAGCGAATAGTTAAGACCTTGGTATTCGGCATAATGGATGGTCTGGACCCTACAGAGAAAGGGTAGATGATATAGTAGATGGATGCGGAGCTAGTCTACAGAAACTAAGCCACTCTGCACTGGACAGAGAAAGATGGAAGGAAATAGTGAGGGAGGCATTGGACACCAACGGGCATTGAGCCCATAGTGGTGGTTGTTGATAATGATAAAAGACCTGATTGCAGTGAAAGAAAACAAAAATCTGATTCTATTCAGGAAGGTGAGGAAGGAAGGGAGTGGGCACTGTTCTCTTTTTGGGGCATATTTCAGTCTAATGCTAATAGGTTTGATGAGGTGACCATTGAAGTCCCTATATCAAGGTGGGCAATAAGTGGCCTTAGGGCTAGGGATGTTATATATTGTGTATATCACATAAAATATTATCGGTTACACAATTATTTGATAGTCCCCGGGGGCAGGGCTGGCAGCCAGTGTGCTCGGGCCCCATTCCTGGGAGACCTTCCTACCTTGCACATCTGCCTCTCTATCAAAAACAGCAGAGTAGAGTGGTAGGCAGGGGCTAGTCTGCCAGGGGAGCCAGCTTAAAAGCCAACTCCCCTTGGTACCTTCTGCTTGCCACTCTGTGCTTCTGCCTTTGGTACAGGCTTATCGGTTAATCATTTACTTGACTATATGCTAATATCCCTACTTCAGGCTGGACATGGTTTGCCATGATTAGCCCCTGACAAGCTGTCAGGTGGTTTATTTACCTACATGTCTTCAGGTACAGCCACTTACAGCTCCCGTTGGCCATGGCTCACCATCCTGGCCAGTGGGTGCTGCGGGAAGCAGCGCATTCTGGGACACTACTTCTCACAGCTTCCATCGGCTGGGTATGGTGAACTGTGGACAGTGTGAACTGTGAGCAGCTGTACGTGCAGATGCACAGGTAAATAAAGATCTGGTGGCCTGCCAGAGGCTAACTGACAGACCTCATCTGGCCTACTGCCTATCTCTGCCTTATATTTCCCTTTTCACCTGTCCTTCAAAATTAGACTACCCGACATAGTCAATGAAGCCGGGATTTAAATATCCCGGCTTCATTAACATAAAAATGTCCACCACATTGTGTCGGCTCAGCTGATTGTCGGCACAGCGCGGCAGTCAAGACGCAGATCAGTCGACAGGGGAAGCCTTTGTCGACCGCTCCTGTGAACCTCGTTTTACGAGGCATAAGGGAGCAGTCAACAAAGGTGTTCCCTGTTGACCGATCCGCATCTTGACTGCCATGCTGTGCTGACGATCAGCTGAGCCAGTACAGCATGGCAGCCATTTTTATTTTAATGAAGCCGGGCATATTTAAATCCGGGCTTCATTGACTAAGTCGGGTAGTCTAATTTACATGCCTCTGGCAACAGAGACATATAGTCTAGACATACCGTTAATGCTGTGAGCTGGGGAAGGGCAAAAAGAGGCTTAACACAGTGCCCCACCCCCAGCACGTTATTGTAGCTCCCATTGGCCAGAAACTGGACCCATATATTGCAGGAAGGTTTCCTGATTCCTGACATATGTACTGTTCTGTGTTATACTGAAGACAATCATTTGAGAATTTTGTTTAAATTAATTTAAAATAAACCCAAGAAATATGATAGAATTCATTTTCATAATAGTATCAATTCAATTTTCTTTTTTTCCACAAGTAATAGTGTAATATGCTTCTCTAACAATCTTTTAACAGTCTTTTAAAATACTTTATTTCCAACGTTGTCCTGTTAGTTTTTAATGCACAACTTACCTTTTAGAAGTTGAGGGGAAAGCTAGAGAGTTTGGCATTCAAATAAGGGATAGATAAGAACCCAAAACAATTGAGAGATCTGTATGTAGCACTGGTGTAAATAGGAGCACTCTTAAGTGGCCTTTCTGATTTATTAGTAGTTCTTTCACTGATCCTTATTAGCGTCTTTACTTTCAAGGTAGTAGTAACATTTGTCTGACAGACAGATCTGTTTGTATTCCAGCACGTGTATTGCATGTAACAGTAGACTTCCGATAACCCGGCAACTTTGGGACCTAGGTGGTGCTGTCTTATCAGATATGCCGGAGTACCAGGAGGTACTATAAGGGGGCATACTCCCAACCCAATCCCTGTCACGCCCCAACCTTATGCTCGGGTCCCAGAGCCACCAGTACAGCCGTGTGTCTCCCTTCAGGCACTGGGGCACATGCACTGTGCGGCCGCCTTTTCAATGAGCTGGCCGGGACACTGTCCACAACCCAATCCCCCTCTCCTCTCCTTCCCTTCCCCAGAGCCAAACACCTCCCCTCCCTCCTGTCACCCAATCCCTCTTCTCCCCCAACCTTATGTCCGGGTCCCGAAGCAGCTGCCTGTGCTCAGCGGCTGGCTGCTAGCATGTGCAGGCTGAACGCTGTGTGCACTGGGGGCCGTGAGCGAAACGGCACGGGCTGTGAGCACGCATGTGGCTCACAGGGGCCCGGCCATGAGAGCGGCTGACCTGATCAGTTCTGGGTTCCAGTTGATGCCGGACTATCAGGAGTGCCAGGCAATTGGATGCCGGACTATTGGAGTTTTAGCGTATTAAGAAATTCAATTTTAGTAGTTACCTAGCTATGACAACATAGAGTAGACATATTTTGAAGAAATAATGGAAATTACTAAACTGACATTGTCAACTAATTACATATGTGCAACTAGAAATAAAAACATTTGTATCTTTGCCCTTTATAAACATTAGCTTTTTTACTTAAATAGTTAAAATTCATCTCCTTTGGGGCTAATTTGTTTATCACAACTTTCCATTTAAGTTTATGGGTAGGTAGGGTGCTAGCCTTTATCTTATTTTCCCCATTGAAATCATTGATAACTATCTTTTTAAGCTTCCTTGTTAATGTTAACATATTTTTGATAAGCTGGTTTTCATGTGACAGTACATTAAAATTTGTTTTCAGAAACCGCTAAAAGGAAATAGGTTGCTCCTGAAGTACTCTACTGATGGTGTACCCAGATTTTACTTGGAATGGATATATTGTGGGTGTGTATTTAAGATGGTCTGCCATATAAGTATAGTGCCACTTGGGTAGGTTCCACTATTTTCAGATTTATTTTTTAAGGTGGAAATAAGTGTTTTTCTTAAATATATGGTATTTCTAAATATTTTGCTTCATAATTATCACATCCAAACTAATAATATATTTGTCTGCTTTCTTTTCAGAGATGTGGTACTGGGTTTTCCTATGGGCTCTCTTCTCCTCTCTCTTTGTCCATGGTGCTGTAGGAGTTTTAATGTTTGTGATGCTGCAGAGACATAGGCAGGGGAGACTAATCTCTGTCATTGTGGTCAGCATTGGATTTCTGGGTTCTGTAACTGGAGCAATGATAACCAGTAAGTTTATTTTGTTTTTTTACATATAGTTTTATATCATATTTTCAAAAGAGCATTACTTCTTATCTAATCTGGTAACTGTTCATACAAATTTGTTTCTTTAGTCATGTAGTTTTTCCTGTGAGAATGTCAACTTGGTTGCTGCTTCTACCGTGTGAAGATAAAGGCAGTATAGATCTGTCAAAGAAGCATAGGACTCCTCACATGTATTTTTTTCATATTTGGAAACCATGGGGAACTTGGTACTGAAAAGTGTCATTCCATTCTTCTTTACTGAGACTGAAAGCAACAGTTCTGTGATGGGTGCTTCTGGTTATTGGAAGGAAATCGTATACCCTTAGACTCATAATGGTTTCCTCTCCATTTGGCTTACCAGAGTGATTTTGCTGCTCTTGTCGTATTTCCTGGTGGTGTCCACTAATAATCTCAGTGTCTTGGAGTTCCACTTTGAAACAGTTTATGCTCTGATGTGAAATGATTACCATGAAGGTGTTATACTTCTGAGTAGTTAAATGCACACTAAATAGCCTACCCAGGTGGAAGAAGTGGCTGAGACTTTTTTTTAAACAACTAACAAAATCATCCAAAGCCCAGGATTTGGTGGTGATGGGGGACTTCAACTATCCAGATATATGTTGAGAAAATAACACTGCGGGGCACAGACTATCCAATAAGTTCTTGGACTGCATTGGAGACAACTTTTTATTTCAGAAGGTTGAAAAAGCAACCAGGGAGAAAGCTGTTCTAGATTTGATCCTAACAAATAGGGAGGAACTGGTTGAGAATTTGAAAGTGGAAGGTAGGTTTGGTGAAAGTGATCATGAAATCATAGAGTTCACAATTTTAAGGAAGGATAGAAGGGAGAATAGCAAAATAGAGACAGTGGATTTCGGAAAGGCGGATTTTGGTAAGCTCAGAGAGCTGATAGGTAAGGTCTCATGGGAATCGAGACTGAGGGGAAAAACAACTGAGGAGAGTTGGCAGTTTTTCAAAGGGACATTGTTAAGGGCCCAAAAGCAAGCTATTCTGATGTGTCAGAAAGATAGAAAATATGGCAAAAGACCACCTTGGCTTAACCACGAGATCTTGAATGATCTAAAAATAAAAAAGGAGTCATATAAAAAATGGAAAGTAGGACAAATTACAAAGGAAGAATATAGGCAAACAGCACAGGAATGCAGGGGCAAGATTAGAAAGGCAAAGGCACAGAATGAGCTCAAACTAGCTACAGGAATAAAGGGAAACAAGAAGATGTTTTATAAATACATTAGAAGCAAGAGGAAGACCAAGGAGAGGTCAGTGAAGAGGGAAAAACAGTAACAGGAAACTTGGAAATGGCAGAGATGCTCAATGACTTCTTTGTTTCGGTCTTCACTGAGAAGTCTGTAGGAATGCCTAACATAGTGAATGCTAGTGGAAAGGAGGTAATTTTAGAAGGTAGAATAAAAAAGAACAAGTTAAACATCACCTAGAAAAGTTAGATGCCTGCAAGTCCACCAGGGCCTGACGAAATGCATCCAAGAATACTCAAGGAGCTGATAGAAGAGGTATGTGAGCCTCTAGCTACCATCTTTGGAAAATCATGGGAGACAGGAGAGATTCCAGAGGACTGGAAAAGGGCAAATATAGTGCCCATCTATAAAAAGGGAAATAAGAACAACCCAGGAAACTACAGACCAGTTAGTTTAACTTCTGTGCCACGGAAGATAATGGAGCAAGTAATTAAGGAAATCATCTGTAAACACTCGGAAGGTGGCAAGGTGATAGGGAACAGCCAGCATGGATTTGTAAAGAACAAATCATGTCAAACCAATCTGATAGCTTTCTTTAATAGGATAAC